CCCCCTCTTTATATCAGAGTGCCCCTTTATATCAGAGTCTTAAGGACTTTGATGTGAGGGGGACTTTAATATAAGGGGGGAGCCTGGAGTATGGTGCCCAGATCCACCTTTACATCAGAGAGACCAGAGTTCCCCCCCTTACATCAGCATCCCCAGAACCCACTTTACACGAGAGTACCCAAAGTGTCCTTTACATCAGAGTCCTTAGAACTCTGATATAAAAGGGGAACTCTGGGGATCCTGATTTAAGGGGGAACTCAGTGCCCAGTCCTCCTTTTACATGAAAGTCCAGAGTACCCCCCAGTGCTGTCCTTCTTTCCTCTTCCCCCCACCCGGGTTGTCCATCTTGTCTCCCCCTGCTAACCCTTTCTCTGGTCAGATGTATGGAATTCTAATAAATTTATATTTACTATTTAGCTATCAAAAGGTATATACTGCACTAAACCTTTCATCCATTCGTTAAACATTTTTAAAATAACAAATACAATTGTTTAAGAGTAAAGGGGGGGGCCCTTTTGGTTTAACCAATTCTTTTTGCGCATTGGTACTTTATGGACCGTGGAACTGAGGGCGGGCCCTTTGCCCTAATAGTTTGTGATTTTAGAGTCTTTGTTTTGGGAGTTGGGAGGTATACAGGTGGAGTTCAGTTCTCTGGACTTGATGAGTCACTTCTTACTTTCGGTATTTGTGGTTTAGCAGAAGCCGACTTATTTCCACTTTCATTTCTGGCTCCTCTGCAGCATGGCCTCTATGGACCTGAGACAGGAGCTGAACTGCCCCATCTGCTTGGAGGTTTATCGAGATCCTGTAACCCTGAAGTGCGGACACACTTTCTGCCTGGCCTGTATACATCGTCTACTTTGTAAACAGGGTGAGTCCAAAGTTTATACCTGTCCGGAGTGCAGGCAGAAATCAAGACCACCGCTTAAGAAGAACATTGCTCTCAGCAGAATAGTGGAGAGATTCCATGCTGGTCATACTGACAAGGATGGGAACACAGTCTTGTGTACATACTGTGACTTCCCGGTGCTGGCTCTGAGGTCTTGTCAGCAGTGTGAGACTTCTTTGTGTGCTGATCACTTGAGAAAACACAATGAGACGGTGAAACACAACTTACTTCCACCTACAGCTGAGTTCCGGAAAAGGAGGTGTCCAGTCCACGGGAAGATCATGGAATATTATTGTACCGAGGACTCTGTCTGTGTCTGTGCATCATGCAGGCTAGATGGAGAACACCGAGGACATCAGGCGGAGCTGATGGAGGAGGCCGCAGAGAAGAAACTGAGACCAGTGCTGAAGAAGGCAAAACACGAGCAAGAAAAGAGTGAGAAGAGAATCCAGAGCCTGCAGGAACGCAGGACAAGAGTGCAAGAGGTAGCAGCCAAAGTAACACAGAGAGCCACTGCTGAACTTAGCAGTATGAAGAAGCAGTTGGAAGATCTGGAGAAGATGGTCCCCAATGGGATCGCCAGGTGGGAAATGCAGATTTCACAGTCTGTCACTGATCTGGTCCAACAATTGGAAACCAAAAAGGAGAATCTGACCAGAAAGATATGTTACTTGGAGGGGCTGCATGATCTGGGCGACCCACTAAGTGTATTACAAGACCAGGAACTAGACAAAGACTTGTATGACACCGAGGAGGCACTGCCTGATGACCCTGAATTTCCTGATCTAGAGGAGGAGATGATCTCCAGAGCATTACACAAATTATCCAACATGGTAACAAGCGCAAAGATGTGGATACGCAAACCTGCAGACATATTGCTGGACGTCTGCACAGCGGCCGATAACCTCTGGATATCAGACGACTTAAAAAGTGCCTTCAGGTCAGAGATAAAACTGCCTTTTCCAAAAACACCAGAGAGACTTGAGTATTGTGGGGTTCTAAGTCTCTGCAGCTTCTCCTCTTGGCAGCATTACTGGGAGGTGGACACCAGCCAGTCGGATAGCTGGAAAGTCGGAATGTGTTACCCCAGCATCAGCAGGAAAAGCCACATCAGTATGATTGGGCAGGGCAGTGACTCCTGGTGCTTGCGGAGGTTGAAGGATAACTATAACATGATGCATGACGCTGATCATATCCATTTACCTCACAAACCCTCTAGCCATAAATTTTGTATCTATCTGGATTACGAGGCTGGCCAGCTTTCCTTCTATGAGCTGGGAGACCCAATGAGACACTTGCACACCTTCATGACTACCTTCACTGAGCCCCTCCATGCTGTCCTTGCAGCCTTTCAAGGGTCCATTACCATTAGTAACTAGTTATAGATTTAGTGACTTGTGCAGTAAGTTCCGGTGTTCTCTAAAGATGGCTCCACTTCTTTGTGAATACACCCGTGTTATGGTAGATATCAAGTAGATCTCTGATGTTGTTAATTGATTTAGTTTTGGATTAAATCTTTTAGTAAGCGTCTGCTTCGTGTGCATGCCCAGCCCAGGAATAGACACGATAGAGTGGGGAAAGGTAAGAACCTTCATCAGATTTGTATTGCTTGTTGTTTCCCTGGTGACACAGCAGGAAATGAGGGGAAATCTCCTCAACAAGGACACAGACAGCAGTAAAGAGCTGACAGGGCAGGATAGGTTAGAAACTATCTAAAGTTAAAGCAATTTGGCTGTCATGCTACCATGCAGCAAACACGTTAGCTTGGCCAAATGAAAGAAGGCCAGCCCTTTAAGACTCCCAACTATACTTGCCTATAGCAGCTGGGGTGAAGCAGTAAAGCTATTCCACTCTTCCCAGTGTATGAATAACTGCTCTTCACAGGGGTTCTTCCTACCAGCTCCTATGTTACCACAGATGTAGTAGTCATTCGACCTACCTGTAATGCTTGATTACTTGCAACGGGTAGAGAGCATTTGAAAGCATGGGCTGCCTTTATAAGTAATTGTACATGGGCTTATTTTGCAGGGTGAATGGCTCACTTTTAATGTCAGCAAATATAAGTAGTTCCTGCTCCCCCTCCCCCTCCCCCCCATAGATTCTGTCCTTCCATTGCAACTAGGAGCTCCCCTGAATATCCCCTTCTGTATAGAGTTGATTAGACACCCCACCCCACCCCATCCCACAATACAATGCCTGGAGCCCAGTTGTCTTATCAGCAGGCCCAGACATTGGCTCTTGTGGGCAAGGTGCCTGTACTTATGCAAATAGTGACATTCTCCAAGGCGGCGGGGTTGACCACAGCAGTTCCTTGTTTAGATGGCTTAAAAAAAAAAAAGAAGAGAACCAATGAATGTATTGGTGTCACAGACTGATGGCTCATGTCTCGTAGGTTGCTCCGGGTTTCTGTACTCTACTGTATGAGACTGAAAATGTTTGAACCTTCGTGAAGGTACATGTAGAAAACAGAGGCTCAGACTATGACTTGCCATTCTGATCAAAGTGCAGCTCATATGTCAGCTGCTTTTTAGGATTGCATGTTTGTGATTTCCACAATAGCCGCAGCAGATGGAATTATTTTACTTTCCATTTTGTCGTGTTTGCCACAGGTGTGATTTAGTCAGGGATCTCTCTAACCTTTTCCCCACATAATGTTTCTCCCATAGATTGTAATTGTATCACTCTCAATGAAGTTAGACTCTGGTGGACTAAATACAGTTCCAATACACAAGGGCAGCCTCCAAGGTTGGCTGTTGTCACCATTTGCCAGTTCTTCTGTATAAAAAGCCCTCACGCTGGTTTTGGATCTGAAGGACTTGGGACCTTGTTCAAATCTGTGAAGTTTAAACACTGGAAAAAATAGTTTCTGGGTCCAAAGAACATCCCTAAAATGCTGCTGGGGATGAGAACCTTCCAGAAGATACATCTAGATAAAGGAGGTTCAAACTATAGTTGCTGTTCCAATGAAAGTGCGGCCTATATGTCAACTGTTTCTAGTTTGTGAGCTCAGGTAGTGGTACAAGATTGTCCCACCCACTAGAAGTCGTTATAGGTAAGAGTTTTGTGACGTTAGGAGTCACTGTAGGAGTTAAATGCATTCTGGGAGGGGGGCATATAAATATAGTTTTGGTGGGGAGCCTCTAAGGAGGAGAGAGACTGGTCCATGGGAAGATCGAGCACTGCAAGACTGTAGAAGCCGAGTGTTATGTCAGCTTCCGCTTAGGGGGTAAAGCAAGGGACAGGAGCAGGAATTTTGTAAGGGAATCCTTGCATGCCTATGTAGACATGTAGGACTCGGAGCAACACCTCCAGGGCTCTCAGCTTCACCTGGATGACTCTCATGTATCTTATTTCTTTGGTAACTGTTAAGTGTCTTAATAAGTATTCTGCCGTCACCTAAATGTTACATAGTTACATAGTATTTGAGGTTGAATAAAGACATTAGTCCATCAAGTCCAACCTATTAGGATCTCATTCTAGGAGTACCTGTACCCCTGTATGTTACCTGTACCCCTGTATGTTACCTGTACCCCTGTATATTACGGTCCCTTAAGAAATCGTCCAAAAGTTTCTTGAACAATTCCACATTCTTTGCTGAAATCACTGTCTGTGGCAGTGAGTTCCAGACCCTAACTGATCTTACTGTGAAGAACCCCCTTCGCCCCTTGTGCTGGAATTTTTTTTCCACCAATTTTAGGTGGTGGCCTCTAGTTTTTGTAATGGAGTTAATTTTAAACAGTTTATCGCTAATGTTGCTGCCACCATTGAACATTTTGTACATGGAGATCATATCCCCCCTCAATCTCCTCACCTCCAATGTGAACATGTTTAAATTTAGTAGCCTTGTCTCGTAGCTCTGGTCCTCCATACCCCTAATTAGTTTGGTTGCCCTCCGCTGGACTTTTTCCAACTCAAGGACATCTTTTCTTAGTACTGGTGACCAGAACTGGACCGCGTACTCCAGATGAGGTCGAACCAATGATCTATAAAGTGGCAAAATTATAGACTTGTCCCTGCAATACATCCCCTTTTTAATACAGGACAAGACCCTGCTAGCTTTGTTGAGGACTGAAGCATGTATCAAAGTACAATATTTAACATCAAGTAAAGTGTTGAAAACACTCTTGTTTGTGGACTGATCCTTCTTCTAACCTCCTAGATGGGGCTTCTCCTGGGAATGAGCTTGCATGGGTATGTGTGTATACTAGTTAGGGGGGGGGGTTAGGATCTCTCTGAGGTGGGCTCTGCCAGTATGAGTCGATGTGCAGTGATTCTGCACAGCCTGGAGCGCCCTTGGACCAATGTGCCCATAGTATCTCATGGTGTCTGACTGGGAACAGAGGTGGCCAGGCAGTGATGCGTTCACAGAACATGTGAAGTATCCCTGGTGCTGCACATTTGCCAGACCCTGCGCACAGCTTCCTGATTGCCTGTGTTCTATTGGAAGAACACCGCGTTCACTTGCTGAGGCTGCCTGGCTTCCTGACCAGTCAGGAAGCCAGGCGGCATGTCATGACCCACCTCCCTTATTGGCTAGGATAGGAAGCCGGCTTCACTAGTTTCTAGGCAGCGTGGCTTCCTTACCAATCAGTAAGCCGGGAGGCGGGTCATAACCCACAAACTGGCTTCCTGATTAGAAAGGAAGTCGGCTCCATGCTTCCTCTGCACTGCCCGTCAGAGGGAGATCTCCCTCCGACCGAAAATTCCGGTATCGGAGCATTTAGGCGAGCAAGAGTACTCGCCCAAATACTAGTATCGGTATCCGTGCATCCCTACATTGGATCCTTTTCTGCTGTTGATGACCCTAGTAAGTGGATTTCTCCCCACTCTGCTTCCTATTGTTACCTCCAGGACCCCCCCCCCCAATCTTTGAAATCTAAGCTTCATATACTCCTGTGTAGAATACAGCGGTGGGGCGGTGGCACCAGCACTAGAGTACCAGCATTATGTTGTCACCAGCCCGCTAGTGGTTTCTTTATAGGAATACGTAGAGTATGCTTCAGAATTAGGAAATGGCAAGTTCAGACCACAGCAGGGCCCCCCCATGTCAGATTAGAGGTGCTCACTGGCAAGGAGACACACAGTCAGACTCCTCCTACCACTAGATTCTGCCTCCTACCACCTAAAAACTATTTTTTTACTGAAAAGAATCTCGTTACACAAATATAAATAATCTGTATGCCGCTTCAGTATAAATGGTACGAGGCAATCATTCTGCCAATAAATACAGTAAACTCCCCATTATCCGGCACTCTCAAGGCTCCGGTGGCTTGATGCACACTAAGAAATTTAGTTAGCATTTAAATACATTTAGTTGCTAACTAAATTCTTTGTTTACATCATGCTGCCGGCCAACGGTTAGATTCCACGATCTGCAGCAGAATGTAAACAATGGGGAGCAATAGCCAGCCTGCTATTGGCCATTTCAAATTGCAATAGCCAATAGCAGGCTGGCTATTGTACCTGCCCACTGAGCAGAGGAGCGGACGTGAGAGAGAACGTTTTCTCTCAGGTCCGTTCCTCTGCTCAGTGGGCGGATTTCAAGGAGGAGGAGGATGCCTGGCCAGACTGCTAAGCAAGGTACTTGAAGAATGTTCAGTAACAGTACAAACCAATTGAGTGCAACATGGAACCCAAGAGTTTGGTTCCACAAAGTCAAAATGACAGAGGAAGAAAGGTGCTCCAGAAGGCCGTGCCAGACAAGGAAACCAAAATAAGAAGCCTGCTCCAGATTGGTGAAATGGGGACCACACCAGGGATAGCTGAGGAACTAGGGAGCTCCAGATCCACTCAGGTTCAGTGAAGCATCAACTGCCATAGGACAAGGAGCAGATATGTCAGCTAGCACTAGAACAACACATGCCTGGCTAAAATAGGACAAGGGCAGGGTCTGGAGGACCTTTCCGGCAAGGCTGCTGATCAGCCAATAAAGGAGGGACAATTCCTCAATGAAGAGGTCCAATGGAGCACCCAAGACACCCTCCCTTCCCAGCAGAAATTACCTGCAGCAGAGGCCTAGGATGATCTGCCCGCTGACAATACAGGGAGGCACAGGGCTCTCTGACATTGCTTTTAACCAGAGCAAAAGATTTGAATCACTCACAGATGCCTACACTGTACACCTCCACTCAGTACAGAGGGGGAAAGACAGATCTTCCTTCATTTGGGGAACTCTAAATCCTTTTCAAAAGTGAAGTCATTGCAACACCTAGATGGTACCAAATGAAGTGAAGAGCAGGAAACTATTTCTTCAGAGGTATCTGACTGTAGCTGCAGGGATGAACATACTCTAGCTAGTGGGGATGCCAGGAGCAGGAAGAAGACACTACCCTCAGGAAGGGATTGAAAGGATACAGCAGGGACTACCTAATTTGCAGAGACTGAACCGCAGGTGGGACAATGGTGGTTCAACAGTGGGAAAAGTCCACTGTTCAACAAATTCCCTCTGAAAGGGAAACATTTTCTAGCACACTCTCAGGGTGGCCAGGAATGCTTAGAGTCTGTATAGAGGAATTCCTTGAATGGCAGGTGTAACAAGAAGGGCTTTGCAGGTGCATGAGCCATAAAAGACCCAAGGCTGGAGACAGCGGGCTGATCCACCAAATGCAGGGTAGAACCCATTGCATCAAAAAGGGTGAAACAACCCGCTGTAAATCTAGGGTGATTGAAGGCAACTTAAGTATTTCTATATGGAAATACTGTTGGGACTCTATATCAAAAAATGGCTACAGGGACCAGTGGTTTGGCCTGATGCAAGGCCTCTTAAGGGGCAGTGATAGACTCTGCAGGGTATGGCACTGCAGCTTCCTCGAAATACCTGCGATCAATGTATGCATAAAGTTGAGCACACATGGTCACACAGCTCTGAGTAGACATTGAGGTCCCTGAAGATAGCACAGAGGACTCCACTTGATGGAGCTGGGGAATATTCCGAAGGTGACTCAATAAAAATGGGGAAACTGGGTTCTGGATTACCTCCTGTAGAGGTTACCAAGTAGACTCCCCAAGAACTGCTAGGGCAATATGGTCTGGTGTCATCCATAGTGGCAGAACTGTCCCCTGTGGGTCTCTGGGCCTAGTTCCATTATCCCGATGATGTCTGCACAGAGTGTGAAGCAAGGCTTCACTTACACACAAACCCAAGATAGCTGGTGCTGATGAAGGTTTGGCAGTTGGAGGTGACCAGGTGACTGTAGGCGGGCCAGTGGGAATGGACCAGAACTTGAGTTCCCTGGGCTACTTCTCAGCAGGATGGCACTACCTCTTTTGCGGAATGGCAGAAGTGAGTGGAGCACATTTGACACTCCACCCGACGGATGATGTTAGCGCTGTGTCTAACCCTTACTGCTGTGAAACAAGTCAGTGGTGTGCATTTTAAAATGGTTCCCTTAAGCGTTAGCTCCTGATGTTTCACCCCAACTGGCCTTAGTCACTGAGTCTTCAGAGACAGGGTCACACCTGGGACTGCAATATACCATGTTTCCCCGAAAATAAGACACTGTCTTAGGTCTTATTTTCGGGGTAGGTCTTAATTTTTATTTTTAAATGTACAACAATTCTCACTTATTCATGTAGAAAGGTCTACATGTATTCATATACAAAAATATGGTGATCAGGGCATTCAGGGGGGCCGCACCTTTCCAAGAGCAATTTGCTAACCAATTGCTGGCCAGAATGAGCAAAGCGCACTTTCACTATGGATTCCTCACAGGCATGTGTATCACTCCGCCTGTGATAGGAGCCGGCGCTATAGAGGAGGCATCGGCTTATGCGGATCTGCTCCCTCCGGTGCCGCCTAGCTTCCTCTAGCGCTGGCTTCATTAGCACAGCTGATTCTCTCCAGCGGCTCTTCAAGTTCCCCCTCATGCCACCACCAGCCCTGGGAATGGTCACAACTAGGTCTCATATATTTTAGCAATTCCCATTTTTTATTCCATTTATTCCATCATGCAACGCTGTACTGAAATGAATTTACCATTTTTTTTTTTACTATATAACGAAAAAGTACCAAAAATGAAAATAAAAAACCCTGTTTTTCCTTTATTATGTTGTGAAACATTACCCAATTTTTTGGTAAAATATAAAAGGCGGAGGCACATCGGTCAAATAGACACCAAACATGCCCAGCCTTAAAATTGCGCACGCCCGCGAAATTGCAAAACTACCACACCAAAAATTGTCCATAAGCGACAATTTTTTTTTACTGCTCATCAGTTTAGTGTTATCCGTGATTTATGGCCCTAAAATTATTGCTCAGTGTTACGTTGGCGATATGTAACAAGTGCTGCCAAATTTTGCATCTAGGCGCATCTAACGCATTTTTGCGCATCTATGTGGGGGACTTTAACTACCTCCCGGCCAGCCGCTGTGTATACACGGCCTGCCGGGAGCTTCTTGGATGTAACTGGGCGTGTATACACGGGCGCGCCGCGCGGGAAATCCCCGCTATTTGAAAAGAGGCAGCGATGCCCGTTAATATACAAGCGATCCGCCGGCTATAGAGCCGGCGGAT